ATCCCAGAACTGTTTTCTTCAATAAGAAATATTTGTTCATTGCTGCTGAATTGATAGCAAAGTTGTGATATTTTCTGTATTTTCCCCCCAGTGGATAGAGATACAAATCTTTTATAAGCTTGCCATTACATTTCTACTTTAAATTCAAGCTATAAGGTTTTTACTGAACCAAAATTCCAAGTAGAAAATCCAGCCTGAACAATAATAAGATTACTAATTTGCTTTATCCCTCTATACCTAAAACAGTCTTGGGATAATAGTGTCTCCACTACTGTCAACAACGTGATAATGAAATATTGAAGGTTCTTTGTAGTTTGTCTTTGGAAAATGACTCAATAGAGGTAGCCATCAATGTTTTAAGTTAGAATAATTTCTTTCTGTGTGGGTTATGCTGCTACACTAGGTCATACACAATTAGGGTCCTTTGTTTTATTTATCATTTTTGGTGGCGCAGGGAGAAGAAGGGAGAGGTTGCTGGTTAATTTAATTTTGTGTTATATAAAATTTCCCCATGTCAGTCTAATCTAAGAAAACAAAATTACTCATGTACAGAATGCTTCTGTCCCACTCTCCTTTAACCTTCTTCCTTGGCCTCTTAAGACTTTAAGATAAAAAATTCAAATTGTTTAAAATCATTTCACTTCTGATCATTTGCTAAAGTAGCCATAGGAAACCAGTATAAATGTTGGTCTGGAAATGGGACCAACAAATATTTGTTGTTTCCTCTCCAAGCTGACTTGGAGAGGATCCCGTTGATCAAACATGGGACAAAGATAGTAACTGCACAGAACTGAAATATACCTTGTATTTTTTAATTTTGGAAAGGAGGGTGAATTCATAACACACACATTAAAATAAATGTTTGTTGTAACAAATACTTCAAAATGTTGAAATGACTTTGGAATTAGGTGATAAATCAAAGCTAGAGCAGTTTTGGCAGTTTGATAGAACAAACAGTTTGAACAAACTGTAGAAACATGGGTACTAAAGCCCTGCTCACGAGGGCTCAGAAGGAAATGAGGAGCATGTTATTGGAAACTGGAGGAGAGGGAGTCTTTGTGGCAGAAAGCATAGTTAACGTAATCCTATAGTTATGTGGAAAACAGAGCTGTCAGCAGTAAATGTGGATATTTGGTTGAGAAGATTTCCAAGCAAAGTGTTGAAGATATAGCCTGGTTTCTTCCTACATATAGTGAAAAGTGAGAAGAAAGATAAATCGAGGGAAGAATTGTTAAGCAAAAAAGGAATTTTTTTAATAAACTTGATAATCTTGCAATCTCTCAGCCTATTCAGATCACAGAAGATGCTCAAATTAGGAACTTTACTATTAGGTAAGCATACTGTGGAGAGAAGGCCAACTGGATAACCTTTTGCCACTGCTGCTGAAGAGATAAAACATGTGAGTCATGGATCCTCTCAACCAGAAACTAGCACGGGATGATTGTACCCAGAGATTTGTGAAGCAATCTCTTGTCTAAGAGAAGAGTGAATCTTGTGACTTATAGTGAGACTCTTCATGTTTGGAGGATATTATATTAGCAGAAACACTGTTAGCATGGAGAACAAATCAAAGAAAGTTCTTGGCTTCTCAGAATTCCACCAGCTGATGACAGGCTGGAGAAAAAAGATGACTTAAGGACACCAAGGGCAGCGCTGAGGACACAGATTATCCCCAGGCCTTGAAACAAAATTGCTTGGAACTAGTGTTTCTTCCTTTATGTTCTCCCTTTTAGAATAGGAATGTCTATAACTCATTCTTTGCCTTTCCACCATTACTTGGGGAGCAGCCTACATACTTTTCTTCTCTTTGCCTTTTTCATTTAACATATCCTGGAGTTCTTTCTGTAGCAGTTTATAGAGAGTTTCCTCATTTCTTTTCACAGCTGAATAGTCTTCCTCATGTGGATATACTAAAATTTTGATCCATTTTCCTATTAGTGACATTTTGGGTTGTTTTTAAAACATTTTTTGCTGTTAAAATATCATGAATAGTCCAGTGCATACCTCTGTCCATACTTTTTCCACATTGTTTCTGGGATAGATTTCTAAAAAAGGGATTGCTGGATTGAAACTTAAATGCAAAGTAACTTTGCCATGTAACTTTGACCACACTACCTAGAGTAAAAAAGATATTTTGCATCATGACACCTATATATACACATATATACATAACTAAAACAAGTGTCCCAGCTACCCTACTACTAAATCATGTCACAGAATGTTAAATGACCTACTAATGGATCTTGACCCAAAGTTTAAAAGACATTGGCTTATCTGAAGGGTGTATGCTTTTTGTGAAGGGGACATATAATACATGTTTCAGTGTCGTAAACTATTCATGAACTTTACTCTGACTCTACCACTGTAGTCCAAGAACCATGAGTAATAAATAAACAGATGGTTATGGCTGTGTTCCAATGAAATTTTATCTACAAAAGTAGGTGACTGTAGTTTATAGAAATTTGTTTTTGGCTAATCAGGCCATACTCCCAGGGGTTACGATGATGTCAACTTCTATGGAGCATGTGAATATATGGAAGATGGTAGATTACTCAATAAAATCAGGACACAGGGAGGAGAATGAAGGAAACCGCTGTTGAATAGTAGTAGTGGCTGTTACATAACCTAAATAGTGCTAGATATCATTTCTGTGGTTAACCCTAAAATATGCAAACATCCTTAAATGTCTTGAGTGGAAAATAAAATACTTGTTTACCTATCCTTTTTCTAGTAGACTGGTGGGAATGGCATATGAAGTCTTGCTCAGCTTTCTCCCAGATCTGGTTCATGTACACATTCTTCAGATATTTTAAAGTATTGTCCGCCTCTCTGTGCTCCTAGACTGGCTAATCAAAAATGGCCAAAACATGCCACTTTCTCTGAAGTGAGACCATCTCACTTGCCCTGTAGTTTAGACAGAGGCATAGTATTTGAAGTAAATGTGACCGTAAAGGCACAGAGCTGAACCTTTAGAGCGAAAAGCTGGTATTGCTTAGTTACAGGTACCAGCTTATTTTTAGACATAATATACTTTGAAATCTTTCTCCAAGCAACCAACCAAGAGAAAGTAGATGGTATTTCCAGATCACATGTTCATAATCTTTGACATGATTGGAGGCACAAACATCAAAAAGACAGTAGAGCCGAAGTGCTGCTGAGCCTGCAGGTCAATTGCAAGCTGTGGTCACCGTTATCTTTCCACAGGATGGGGTTTGTGAACATGGTCAAGAATAAGGCCTACTTCAAGAGATAGCAAGTGAAATTTAGAAGAAGGTGAGATGTGAAACTAATTACTATGCTTGGGTATCTGCTAATTGGGGATAAAAATGAGCACAACACACCCAAATACAGAATGGTAGTTCATGTAACCAACAGAGATACCATTTGTCAGATTGCTTATACCTGTATAGAAGGAGATGTGATAGTTTGTGCAGCTTATGCTCATCAACTCCCAGTTTGGTGTGAAGGTTGGCCTGTCAGTTTATACTGCAGCATGTTGTCGTGGCCTGCTGCCAGCCCTCAGGTTTCCCAATAGATTTGGCGTGGATACAATGTGGAAAGCATCAATGGTGAACCAGATGCCTTTACTTGGTATTTCAATGCTGGACTTGCAGAACTTCTACTGGAAATAAAGTTCCCTGAAAAGAGCTGTGAACAGAGACTTGTCTGTTCCTCACAGTACCAAATGAGTCCCTAGTTAGGATTCAGAAAGTAAGGAATTCAATGGAAAAATGTGTTGGGAGCTCATTATGGGCCAGAATGCTGCAGATTACATGTGTTACTTAATGGAAGAAGATGAAGATGCTTAAAGAAACACATTCTCTCAATATGTAAAGAACGGTATTAAACTCCAGACATGATGGAGGAGATGTCTAAGAAAGCTCAGACTGCTATAGGAGAGAATCCAGTCTGTGAAAAGAAGCCTGAGAAAAAAAGTTAACAAGAAGAGGTGGACCCGTTCAAAAATATCTCTTGCCCAGAAAAAAAAGATCAGGTAGCTTAGAAGAAGGCACACTTCCTCAGAGGTCAGGAGCAGGCTGCTGAGAGCTAATAAACCAAACTATTTGTTACGGAGATTTTCAGTAAAGACAATACAGTAAATTATTAACTAAAAAGTAGAGGGAGAAAAGACATTGGAGCATGGACTCATTTAAGCACAGTGCTGTCTGCAGAAGAGAAAGAGGATAATAACTAGTAAAATTAGTATTAATTTGAAATAAGCAAAAAAAAAAAAAAAGGGAGGGTGTGTGTGGCTCAGGAGTCCTAAAAACAAGATAAAGAAGGGAAGTAGGTGAATAGCTTTTACAGATTCCTCCTGGAACTCATATTTACCTCTGCTACACCAGTAGTGTCTTCAGACTGAAGGTCAGACATGCTTTCACACTTTGGTATGAACACAGGCCCACTTCTGCAGCAGAATCAGAGGCCAGGTTTTCATCTATGAGGAGACTTCTTTTTGGGCCAATATGAGCACTTAGGAAAAAGTACTTAAAAAGCAAAAAAAAAAAGTAAATTGTGAGCCAGGAAAAATGGCCTGATAAGCACTGGAGGGAAGAAATGAATCTGAAAAAGGAGATTCCAGTTAGGAAAATATCCAAGATTAACTGTTTTGTTACACCAGTAATATATTGTATTAACAATAGTGTTTCCTTCCGTGTTGTTCAAAGTACTAGTATATGTGTCTTAAAGCAGTTGCAAGAGTCAAAGAAAGAAAGGAGCTAGATAGAATTAGCTTGATTTTACGAAAAGTAAAATGCAAAAAGTAAGCAGGTTGACATTGTTCTTCAGAAAAAAGGAAGGGAGCTGACTGTAGGGACCCCAGACTCCTGAATTAGGGAGCAGCTTGTTATCAAAAGCCTGAAGAAACAGCACTGAAGGCTAGTGTGCAGTGGCTTTTATTGAGCACCCCCTGTGTTCCCCCCATCCTTCACTTCTCCTTGGCAATGGACCAGATAGCCTTAACCTCTCTTACCTAATACAAAACTCTTTCTCTTCTGTAGATTCTTTGTGGGAAAGAGATTCCTCGCTGGATCAATCGACTTGCCTACTTCAGCTCCTGTATACCCTTTCTACAGAGTTGCCTCCCGAAAGAGTGGCTCACTCCCGCAGCCCTGCAGACTAGTGTCAGTCAGGAGCTCCAGGATGAACTGGAGGAAGCGGAGGATGCTGCGGCATCCGCTTCCATGGCAAGCTCCACAGCAGGCTCCAGACCTGGGCGCCACACTAAGCTATAAATGTCTCCAAAGTCACACATTCAGAACTGTCTCTGGCAGTTGAATATCACTAGAGAAAAGTAAAAGAGTAAAACGTCCTTTGGATATTTTGTATGCAAAGATGGCTCTCCCCCAAAATCCCAGTTTTTCAGCTCAGGATTATATTTGTAATCAAAAAAAAAAAAAAAATCACTTGGCGCAGGAGGGAGAACTTTGTATGAAGCTGCCCTCTGTTTTTTTTACCCACTTGTAAATTTGGATTTACTTCTGTTTTATACAAGCTCTGTTAAGTTATGTTTACAGTATTTTGTATCGCTGTTTACAAATCTTGCATGGACTCCTGCCACCGTGAAAGAAGAAAATCTTCATGTCTTCAAAAATTAGGCAGGTATCTTTGTATATTTCTGACAATTGCCAGAGCTATGGCATAAGTAATAGGCACACACAAAGGTACTTACACAGTTATAGTCGCCATCACCTGCTTAAGAATTGTCTTTTAGGTTTCTGTTTGTTTCTGTTAACATTTTAGCACCAGGATGCAGAGAGGAAAGAGCACAGCCTTGAGGGCATGGCACCATACAGGAGAGGTGGCCCAACCCTGGGCCAGCGCCTCCGCCATATCTCCCGGGGTTCCCATCAAAAACTGCTTTCTTACCAGGCATCTGTCCACCCAAGCAAGGTGGCACTTTCTTGTGTCTGTCTGACTTGGCTGCCTCTAATTCTGTGATTAAGATGGTTTTTGTTAAAGATATTTTTGCTGGTAACTGACAAGTGTTTTTGCACATGTGTTGAGGCTTCATTTTTATTTTAATATATACTGATGGCCTCTCTGCACAGAATTTTGTTGCTGGGCACAGGATATCCTATGTGGTAGCCTTCTGAGTAGCAGTATGAGTTGGTATTCAACTGCTTTTAATTATTCAGGCTGCCTTTTATATTAAACCATGAAAATTACAGTCTAAAGTAACACTCCAAAAGGTAATTCTTCGCTATTTAAAACATTTTATGTACTACATCAGAAAGTATGTTGGAGTTTGTTATGGGAGTAGTTTCACCTCATAATAGAAAACCTAGACACATTAACCTCTTTTTGAAACGTCATATTTGTGTGTCTAAAAATGCATCTTTTTCTGTTCTCTCTAATGTATGTCTCTAACATCACATAGTCTACAAATGAAATTGTCACCACATATAAGTCCTCATTAGCAAGGAATCTGTCTGCTCAAGTCTGCTCCCAGCTTGACCCTTGGATGTAAGAGCCAAGTCATTACATGTCACATTCAATTTTTCTGCCTTAAGAATGAATGTCCTATGTAAAATATTCGATGCAGTGTATAAATTATCCAAGGCAGTGACTTCAGCTTTATATAGATTGCTAGTTTTAAAATCATCTACTTTTATTTAAACTTCTAGATTGGATTATTTGCTATTGCTCTTTGTAAAAATACATATCTTTCAGTAAACAACATTTTTAACTTTTCCATAAGCTGATTTTGATTCTTTATATCAACTTAAGCACACCCTGCACATAGGGAAAATAAACCTTGGGTTATAAGCATTGACCTGAGGAAAATGAAGCCACTTAACCTAATTCATGCTTCTGACTGTTTCTGGAAAAGAAAATCTTTGCAAATTATTCTCAGTTCTCTAGGAGGGCAGAATACTTGTCTTAAGAGATATGACAGAAAATAAAAAGGAATACAAATTCTTTATGAAAAATTGACTTGATTCAGGTCTAAAAATAAGATTTAGAATTTAACACTAAGGCTCTAGCAGTGAATTTGTTCACTAAAAGAAGAGTCTTTTCACCAAAATCCAGGTTAGTGAAAAATATTTACAGTTTGCTTGGGGATTTTTTTTTGTAATAGTGTGGTAGATTGCAGTTTTTCTAATATTCAATTATTCATGATTTAGATCTATGCTATTGGCACACGTAAAGGAGTGGCAATTAGTTTATACACTTCTTGGTAATATGCAGGAACATCCTGTCTCTGTTTATGTAGAATCTAGCACCTCAGCACATACATTGTTTTGTTATATTTACATTTGTCTGCAGCATTTGGAGTTTAAAAATAGTGTAAGGGGTCTTAGCGTAGTAATGGTGACCTAAAGCCTACTATTATACTAACAGTCAGCAGAAAAAATTTTGGACAAGAGATTGCTTGCAATTTAATTAATTGTACCTGAGGTTGAAAAGTAACTATCTTCAAAATAATGTCTCTAAGTCTATTCTTTCTCTATAGTTCAAAATTGAGAATGGACATAAATAACTAACATTTAATCACCTTCTCCTTGCCATTGGAGGAAAAGATTCTCAACCTGATCTCTGTTAAGAGAAGTCCTATATCGAAACTCCAGTTATTAAGATACGTTGATAGGATAGAATCCAACATTTTCTCTTTATAGGTATAACCAAGTGAAACTTACTTCTCGTGGTGGGTTGGGCAGTAATATAGGATTAGAGGGTCAGAAGCTGCTGGTTTCTACTGTTTTAAATGTCCATGGGGGGTTTTGTAACCCTAAGAAAGAGGCATCAGCTTTGGAAAATAGCCTGTGGAACTGTAGAAGGCAGTGGTACTACATTAGAGAAACTCCACTCGACGCCTGAAATCCAACTAACTATTGCTCTGACCCACAGCAATAGCGTAAGTTACCTTCACCAGCATTTGTACAGAGCAGGGAATTCTGGTTTTAGCCAGTTGATAGCATTGTGTGTATGAGGAAATTCAAAGCAGCAGCTGCAGGACTCTATAACCATGGCTTCTTTCCATCACAAAACGGGTAGAAACACATTCACTGCTTCAGGGTTCTAATCTATGTCTTCTTCTGACTCCATTTCTGTAAGATATTCTGTAATTTGACAGTGCTGTATTTTCTTTCCATAACTAATGGACTCGGTTTTGTTTGGCAAGTTGGCCCTACTGCCATTGTATCCCCTTCTCTTTAATACGGTTTTAGCGTGTAGCCCAGTTGTTAAAACTTTCATTGTCTACTCGTCAATCCACATACATCTTCACTGTTTGAAAGGTGTTACAGCTGTTAAAGAATCTTCATGAACCTGAAGATAATTTCTTGTGAAGTTAAATGCAAATGTACTGTCATTCATAGTGTTTATATAAAAACAAAAAATACCAGGAATCTTCACTTTTGCTACCTTGATAAAGCATTGGGCTATCATGTTAACAACATTGAAATACATCAATTTATTAAAAAAAATACTTTTATAAGAAATGTTTTATAGTGCTTTCTGACTTCCAGGAAATTGCAACTGTTACATAATTGTCTTGGGGGTGGGAGGCTGTTCTTAAAACCTGAGAATCCCATCTGCTCTGCAGATGTGGCCAGTCCCTCTCTATCCCATACTCACATGTACATTTATTCACATGTTCCTCTTGAACTCAAATCCACAGACCAGTTACTTAGCTGTCACAGAGAACACAACCTCACCAGTGCCCTCTTCTCCCCCGAGAGTTCAGGAGAGAGACCGACGGAGGACAAGACCAGGGTGCTTGCACAAACCCACATTCCCTGTGTTGCGGCATCAGGCAAGCAGGAGCCTGAGTGACTGGACTCCTTATTTCCTACCAATCTGTTTTCTGCTTGGTACCTCCAACCTTCCCTCTTTCCTCCATTGTTCTTTTTGTACCCAGCTGAGTAATATTTCCCTCCACTAATTCAAAAACTCCTGAATTAGTTTTGGTAAATAAACAATGGCTTTTTTTTGGTCTGTCAACACCTGTCCACTCTCTGCTAAGGAGAAATTATCTACAACAACTATTCTCCCCTCAAGGACATGGACTACAGGGGACTTCCTCCCCAATGTAAATAGGTTCCTAATAGACTGTAATAAGTTAGTAATGAGCAAATCTCTTTGTAAAATGTCTGTAGAAAGGATGCCAAATACACCAGGGGAAAACAGTCTTATTTTTTGCCATCATCTGCTGCTGAAGTTCTTATCACTGACATGGTGCTAGGTTTGCAGAAGTCTCTAGATTATTGGTTTTATGCTATTCTTTTCAAGAGGTATATTAGAGACGTATAGCTACTTATTGTGGATTTGCAACCCAGAGAGCTACTGACTCTCAAAACTGCCCTTTTGATATTTCCCAAAAAAGAAAATCCTCTGAAAGAGGATCCTACTTTAACCCTACACTGGGAAGTGTGAACAACAAGCTTCTTGTGAAGGCAATGGGGAAAGCCAAGAAAGTTAAGAAGGGCTTTTCTTAGTGATTTTAACAACATGCATTCCTATATTTGGTTTTGCCTATTTTCAAACTCTATGTAAAAGGAATCACTTTGTATATGTTGTGTGCTTTTTTTAAAACCTGTATCAACAAAGTCATGCATATTAGTGTGTGTAGTTGTACATTCATTTTTATTGCTGTGTACCGTTCTTTGGTATACTACAATTTTATGCTATTAATGCACATTTGAGCTGTTTCCATTTCACTGCAATGTGTAGATTCTTCAAATGTAAGGATTTCTCTAGGAATGGAATTACTAGGCTATAGGGAATGTACATACTCAACTTTGAATGCAGAAAAACCAATTTGCACTTCTTATTAACTTACTATTCAGTCTTTTCTCAATATGTTCATCAAACAATTCTACAGACTAGTTATTTTCTTATAATGTCATATAGAAAATTTCAGAACCTAGCCTTCTATTTTTCATTATTAATTAAAACAGTTAAAGAGATGATAACTACTCTCCTCCCTCCTAGCCACTGGGAAAGGATAACAGTAACATCACAGATATAATTCTAAGTATCTGATTGATGTCTTTAAGAACTTTTAACAGAATATGTCTTCTTTGTGAAGTGGACACTTCTATGAATATTCATCGCTATTTACAACAATTTGAGCAGCAAGGTCTTAGAATCCTATTTTAATTTATTTTTCAATTTTTAAAGAAAAAGCAAAATACCCTCCACTGTCTATTATATACCCTCTTTATCTTCTTTGTTCATAACCCTCAATCCTCTTCACCTCTGGTAACCTCAGTTCAGTTATCAATGTCTACTAGTTTTTTACTTTATTGGTTCATCTACTTTTTTTCCTTATATATAGGTGAACTCATCAAATACTTGTCTTTATCCTAATTTTGCTTTGCATAATCCCCTAAAGTTTGTTCTGTTTTGCTACAAATGGCAAGTTTTCATCTTCCCTTTTAACTGAATAACATTCCACTGTGTATAAATACCTCATACTTATCATTAATCAGTGGGCACTTAAGTTGTTTCCATTATCTTACCTGCTTTCAAAAATGGCTGCACCAATTAACATTCCCATGAATGATGCAAAACCATTCCTCTTTCTTCACATCCTCACTGACATTTGCTCTTAATAGTCTTTTTGATGTTAGCTATGAATTCTGGGGGGGTTTTATTCTTTTTTAATTTCCTCTGAACATAAGGTTAAATCTTTTGAGATTTTTCTTGTTAATGTAGTCCTCTATTGCAATTAACTTCCCTCTTAGTACCACTTTGCTGCATCCCATAGGTTCTTATACTTGTATCTTCATTTTTGTTTTGTCTCCAGTTATTTTTTTAACTTCTACTTTAATTTCATTGTTGATCCAGTGACTATTGAGAAGCATGTTGTTTATTCTCCATCTATTTGAAGTTTTTCAGTTTTATTTTTGTGGTCAACTTCTAGTTTCATGTTATGGTAAGAAAAAAATACTTGGTGTGATTTCAGTTTTCTTAGGTTTATTGACACTTGATTTGTGACCTAGATTATGCTCTATCCTTGAGAATGTTCCAGTTCTGCAGTTTGGGGTGGAATATTCTATAAATGTCTTTGGCCTGTCTAGCTGATCATCTAAGGCTATTGTTTGTTTACTCTCTATGTTGTTGATCTGCCCATAGGTGTAGGTGGGGGTTAAAATCCCTTATTATTGTGCTGTTGTTAATGTCACTCTTTAGTTCTATTAGTAAATACTTTATGTATTTTGATGCTCCATCATTTGGTGCAATATTAGTGTTTTATCTTTTGTTGTTTTAACACCTTAGTCATTATATAGTGTCCATTCTTGTCTCTTAATCAACTTTTTTAACTGGAAGTCTATTTGATCTTGTACAAGTATATCTATACCCGCCTTTTTTGGATTACCATTTCCTTGCAGGATTGTCTTCCTTTTTACTTTTAAGTCTATTACTTTTACTTTTTACTTTAAGCCTATATTTACTTTATGTTTTACTTTAAGATTATATTTGTCTTTGGTGTTAAGATGAGTTTCCTGTAAGCAACAAAAAGTTAGATTTTGTTTGTTGATTCATTCAGCTTCTCTATACCTTTTTATTAGTGAAATCAAACTATTTATATTTAAGGTAATTTTTGAACACGTATTTATTGCCATTTGTGATTTTTTTTGTTTTTTTATAGTTTGTATTTGTTCTTTTATTCTCTTATATTCATCTTGTGCTTTAACATCTTTTGCATTATGTTTGGGTTCATTTCCAATATTCATATTTACTTCTTATATGAATTTTTGTATTGAGGTTATCCTGAGGTTTATGTGTACAGTTCTGTACTTAACAACCTATTGACTAGCGCAATCTCAAAATCATTCAGATGGTCCCCACTTTCCTCAGACACCCTCCTCATTGTATAATTTGGATATCTTTCTGCTTCTAGATCAAAAAAGTCTTTTTTTTTTTTTTTTTTGATTTATTTATTTACACAAGCACTGGGTACAGTCAGAAGCCTGGGAGGGTGAGAGAATTCACCAGAGCCAGAGCAGAGAGCAGAACAGGCAGACATGAAATACACTGCTGAGGGGAGCAGCGGGCAGCAGAAGAGGTCTGCGTGCCATGTGGGATGCCAACGGCCGGGGATCGAACCGGTACTGCAGAGGCTGCGGGCAGCTTCTCAGCCCAGCACTCAACCACTGCACCACCAGGGGAGGCCCTCAAAAAAGTCTTTTTATGATGGTTTTTTTAATGCTTTCATAAAGGTTGTAAAAGAATTTTTTGTAAGGCCGGTTTAGTGGTGATGAAATCTTTCAATTTTTGTTTGTCTATACAGCTCTTTGTCCCACCTTCATTTCTGAATGATAATATTCTCAGTTGGAAACCCTTTTCTTTCAGGACCTCATCGTGCCTTCCTCTTCTGGCTTGCAAGGTTTCCACATAGAATTCCCCAAATATCTTATAGGAGTTCCTTTATATATGACTCATTTTTCTCAGGATACTTTAAGTATTCCTTATCATTAATTTTCAGTGGTGTAATTATGTCTTTGGGTGCGTGTTTGGATTTGTTTGAAATTCTTGGGACATCTTGGTTCAGAATGCCAGTGTTCTTTCACAAGGAGAAAGATTCTTGGCTGTTATTTTTTAAATGAAGTTTTTACACTCCCCCTTCACCCCTCCCCATTTTGTAATCACTATCATGCAGATACTGTTTCTCTTAATGTCTCATAGGGCTTTAGTTCTTTTTTCTTTTTGCTGGTCTGTTTGTGTTTTCCACTACCATGTGCTCAAGTTCACTGATTCTGTTGACTTCTTGTCTAATATTGAGTCCCCAATTGTACTTTTTTATTTCAGTTATAGAATTATTGAAGTCCAGTATTTCCATTTGAAACTCTCATATTTCTCTATCCTTTTCATAATTCTCATTTTGTTTGCCAGCTTTTTCTATTTCAATAAACATCATAAGGACAGTTGCTTAAATTCTTCTTTAGGTAAGTTACCTAGATCTGGATTTACATTTTTCCTAGGGGGTTTGTTCCATTTGTGACTCCTCTGTATCTTCATTTTTAGCATTTAGGGGTAGAACCAAATATCGTTCTCTCCTAAACTTGATATGTTTACCTTATATTAACATTACAGGTTGCAGAGTATAATCCTAGATTTTTTGCCTAGGATCCTGGGGTATATGTTGCTTTATAAATAGATGCCTCTACACTTGTTGGAGGCTGGCAAAGGGTCAGAGCCAGGGCAGCAGGAATCCAAGGTTGCTGCTAATAAGTACCAAGAGTTCAAGCCTCCTAAGGGACTACAGGGGCCTGAACTGAGGGTGGGGCTTGTACATCAACACCCTCTCACTGGCCAGTTCTTCAGTCAGAGATTCCCCAGTAACCTCAGTCTAACACTGACCTTTCAGCTATGGCCTGCTCTGGTTTGAGAGTTCTTTAACCAGATTTTCCCAGGAGTGTAGACAGGTGCAGAGTGATCTGGGAATTGTGGCTTCACATCACAGAAAGACCATAGTCCCAATTGCCATCCCAGGT